CTCTCTCTCTCTCTCTCTCTTTCTCTCTCGGATCAATTAGACGACGTGAAAGTAGACGCCGACGATAATCGTCTGAAAGTATAAGTAAGCCCAGGGAAGGAAGTTTGCGTCGAGCGAAGGGGAGAAAATAGTGTCTGTAGCTTTCGTCGTCGTCGTCGTCGTCGTCGTCGTCGTCGTCGTCGTCGTCGTCGTCGTTGTCGATACTTTTATTCCCTCGGCAAGGGATTATCATTCGCAAGGAGGTCTTCTTTCGGGTTATACTCTCACGGTGAAAAAAGAAGGAAAAAAAGAAAAAGAAATGCTGCTCGAAGCGAACGATTTGTTTTCTCATCATAAGAAGGTAAGATGAGTTTCGTTCTCTATCAATTTCTATTTGTGTCTCGATCTTTCCTTCAAATTGTAACAAGTCTTTGCCGTTTGATTGGAACGGCTTATCTTCGTGATTATTATGAATCGTAGATAAGGGTCTTTAAAATATCCTTTGTAAAATCAAACACTCAAGAAAGTTCTTGTTGACTGATACGAATTTCTTATTTAATTTTCTTTCGAACGAAAGATGTTATGGTTCTCGTTATGCTTCACGTAAAAAACAAAAAAAAAAAAAAAGTTTTGAAATGTTTCTCTATTAGATATTCGAGTGACTGAATATACTATACTCTTTATTCTTTATGTAAACGTTCTTCACTCTCGTATTGCCATACGAGAAATGCTTTTTGCACGCAACTTTCGCAAAACAGTAAGCGACATAATAATATTGACAAAAGTAGAAAGTATTCATAGGCGCATGCTTTGGTATGTATAATTTTATGAGAGATAGACTGAGAGAGAATCACGCGGTAACCCGAAGCACGCACACTCATGGAGTATGCTTATGTTGTCATCGTCGTTATCGTTCTCCTTCATCATCGTAACGTAGAAACATTTTTTTCTCGTTTTTCTCCATTTTATCACTGTCGCTCATTCATTCTCACATTCATTGATCCATAATTCAAATATAACGACAAAAACTTTCGATTCTTTCGATTTTGATGGATATCAACCCAGACTAGCTACTGAAAAGGAAAGAAAGGAAAAGAACGAGATAGAAAAAGAAAAAGAGAGAGAGAGAGAGTCTATAAACTCGCAATTTTTGGAACATTTACATGGATCCATAGATCGTTTATTATCCAGAATCAGGAAAAACTAGACCCATATAGACTACAAACTGAATTGTCTGATATGATGGTGATCATTAAAGATGAAAAAGAGAAAGAGAGAGAAAGAGGAAGATGGAGAGAGAGAGAGAGAGAGAGAGAGAGAGAGAAACAGAAACGAATCAATTAATATATCATTTCCTGTTTCCACGAAACAATGACGCGTGTTTGGGAAGGGCGGAATACATTGTTCCACACCTTTCGTACCTATACATTTCTGGGAGCCACTCAAGCTCCACGAGCTGTCCTCCCATTCTGATCAACGCTATTACCTATCCTCTCTCACCCGGCCTTTTCCTCATATCCTCCCAGTTACGACTCACATCCTGGATCGGTTCCTGGCGTTAGACGACTACGACTACGACGATGACGATGGCGACGTGTCGACGACGCTAACGTGTCGACATAGGGCCGCGTAAAACCATATACGGATACGTGATTGTAACAAAACAACGGACATCCGGACAACAGACAGTCGCACAGGTATCGTTCCTCATCCCCTCCCTCTTTCTCTTTCTTTCTCTCTTACACGTTTCTCCTACCAACAATATTTTTTCCTTCTCCTTCCCTTTCTCTACCATCAACCTGACCCTTTCTCCTTTGTCTTTCGATCTCTCCCACTCTCTTCCGATCTTTCAACATGCACATCGATGCTTTTCGATATCCATCGCACTCTTTCTCCCTTTTCTCTCCGACACACGGAAGAACGGAAGGAAGGACGGACGCGTTTCCTCTACGAACGTGGAAGCTTCCAGTTAAGTCTACTCGCTCCGTCGAACTCATCGGTCCCTTGACCATTTCCCCACTCTCTTTATCTCTCTTTTACTCTCTTTCTTTCTTTCCCTCTTTCTCTCTTTTTCTCTTTCTCTCTTTCTCTCTTTCTCTCTTCTACGCTTCGTGTACTGGTATCTATAAGGCCTATCGATCTTCATCTCGACCAAAAATCGAAAAGAAATGTTATTCAAATCTTTTCCCTCGCTTTTTTTTCTCTCTCTCTTTCGTTTACCTTTTTCTTTTTCTCTTTGCTTTCTTATTCATTTTCATTTTCATTTTCATCCGATCATTTCTATATTTAACTCTTTTGTTTGATAATTTTGTTCATCTTTTTTTCCTTTTCTCATGATCATCTTTCAATTTTTGTTTGAACGAAACGCAAAACATATTAATGTATTTTTTGTTCCTTCCTTTTTTCTTTTTTCTTTTTTTTTTTTTTTTTATTTCTGGACATGCACGCTACGCTTTCTAGCTACAACCTATTTTACCCCCCACTTCTCTCTCTCTCTCTCTCTCTCTCTCTCTCTCTCTCTCTCTCTATCTTTCTCTATCTCTCTTCCTCCGTTCTGTCGCGAAACACGATACACAAGGCTCGCGTTATTTTAAAGTTAGTCAGTTCGCTTAATGCAGCGAAGTAATTTTATATGGCCGGTCGAGTGAAAAATTCGAGCCGTACCAGGGCGAATCGGCTATTTTCGTTCGCTTTTTATTCGCGTCTACGAAGAGAGTTGTATGCGTGCATACATGTAGGTGTGTGTGCACATAGCACGTGCGCGCACGCGTGTGCGTTTGCGTCGTCGTACGACGCACCCTTGTAACCATTTTTCCCTAGGTATAGGAACGGAAGAAGCGAGAGCTCATTTCCTCTGCGTGAAAGTGGAAGCTTCCAGTAAGGATACCTGGTCCAGTGGACACGCGCTTCCTGTCTCTATTTGTCGCGCTTCGAAGCACCTACGTGACGCGCAAACAAAAAAGAAAAAAAAAATTATATTGTTTTTAAAGAGACCGAAGGGAAAAGAGAGATGATGTATAGACTTGTTCGTAGGAAGCGTGTCCTGCTGAGTTTCCTATTCTAACATGCATACCTCACGATCGTAGAAGCGTGAGCGAGTATTCGTTTCATCAGCAGATTACCTCTCTCGGTGCATAATTGTTATAGAAATGTATTACATTATATACTGGATTTTATAATAAGCACGTTTTTCTTCCTCCCACATCATCCCCCTTTCTCTTTCTCTCTCTCTCTCTCTATCTCTCATCTCTCTTTTTATATATAAATAAATGTTATATAAAATCTAAAAGATCTAAAATATAACAAAATCTTATTAACACAATCTGTTGTAATATTATTATATATGCGCGTATATATTGTATCTATGAAGTTTCGATGTAAATAATAAAAATTTAATAGATAAGAAGATTGAATAATTATAAATCATTCATCATATTGATTTATAAAAAATCGGGACAATCGAAATGTATTAAGTTGTCTTACAAGGAGAAAGGGTTTCACGAGTATACTTAACGCAAGAAGGAGCAGATCTCGGGACACTTGATTCAACGTTTCTCATGTCTTTACGCGAGTACGACACGATGTACCTAAGTAGGAATGCTTCACACGGGGAAATTGAAAAGAAAGAAAGAAAGAAAGAAAGGAAGGAAGGAAAGAAGGAAGGAAAGAAGGTAGGCATGAAGGAATGAGGCGAAGATGGCTAATAAAGTTGCCGGACCGTAAGAAAGAGAGAAACAGAGAACGAGAAAGAGATGGATAGTAAGGGTTGGGGGGTGTCGGAAGACGCGCCTCGTGCGCGAAGAAAGGGACAATCGTCACTTCGCACCACTCGAGCATATTACGTCGTTTTCTTTCGCACTCTCTCCTCCTTTCTTCCCTTTCAAGCACGGCCGTCGTCACTCGGCCCTCCGGCCGGAAAGGAGCTCAAAAAGAAAAGCAAGAAGAGAGAAAGAAAGAAAAAGCAAGAGAGAGAGAGAGAGAGAGAGAGAGAAAGAAAGAGAGAGAGAGAGAGAGAGAAAGAGAGAAAGAGAAAGAGAGGAAAGAAAAGAGGGAAGAAGAGGTAAAATGCATGCCTTCTCGACGCATTCAACGAAAGCCGTCGCTTTCTTGAATTCCTGAAGGCATATAGCACGTTCTATCCCCCTCTCCCTCCCACTACCACCCCCTATCTTCAACCCCGAAAGCACGACGGTTGCCATCAACCTCCTTTTCTCTCACTCTCTTGGCGAAAGAGTGCACCCGGAACTCGCGTGTCATCCGCGTCTCCGACGAGTGCCTCGACGCGCGCTCGGTTACTTTTGTCCGTTTCTTTTCCTTTTTTTTTTCGTGCACGGCCTTTTTCTTCAGGGATCGCGCGGAGGCGAAGGAATGAGGCGTCTAAGGAGAAGCGAGGGAGAAGAGGACATTGAAAAGGCCTCATCCTCTTTCCTCGAGCCTCCTCCGACTCGTTCTTTTTCTCTCTCTCTCTCTTTCTCTCTCTCTCTCTCTCTCTCTTTTTCTTTCTCTTTCTTTCTTTCTTTCTTTATTTCTCTTTCTTTCTCTCTCTCTCTCTCTCTCTCTCTCTCTCTCTTATCGTCACAAGTAGCTCGAGCAGTGGCTGATGGTGATGGCAGGGGGTGGAGGGCGTGGGTGGCAAAAGACGCGGAACGAGGTAGCGCGCCGGAGGGAGGGAGAGAACGTTTTCTCGCCATTGTCCAACGCGCATCAAGAACAAGAAAAGCTCTTCTGATGACGAGTACGAGTGTACCGTCGACATTACCCCTCTTCTTACTCCTTTCTACCTCTTTTCACCATCTCTTTTTCCATCCCTTCTCTTTTCTTCTCTTTCTACGTACGACGTAAGTAGCACGACGACGACGACGACGACGACGACGACGACGACGACGACGACGTGCCGCCACTATCATGGTACGTCGCTCTGATTTCTCTAAGTAGCACTCCGCCGATGGAGGACGAATTTCTCCTCCTCCTCCTCCTCCTCCTCCTCCTCCTTCTTTTCGTTTTCCATACAGTGTACTTACTACCGAGTAAATTTCTTTTTGCATCGGAGACGAGCACGACGGAACGAACGGCTTGTTTGAACCTAAAGAAGAAAAAAGTACATAGAGAGGAAAAGAAACCGTTTGCTCTTAGCATTTCAGTCGTAATACAAGTCTTGCATTACGAGTTGAGATTACACAAGAGATGTGAGCGAATGAAAGAGACGGCGATATAAAAGAATGTTTATTTTTTTCCCTCCCTCCCCGTTAGTACGGTTAAAGAAACTCAACAATTGCTAACCTATACAAACGAAATACACGAATTACTACGCTCTTTATTTTTCTTTCTCTCACCTGAATCTTTCGCAATGTTCTCATTTTCTTGCATGGAAATGCAAATGCAAAAGACGAAAGATTGAAGAATGTTATTTTGTTTTTTCATATCATTTTCATAAATTTTCTAATAAAAGATAAAACGTCTTATATTTTTCAAGTTCACGTCTAGTCTAATTTAAAGAAAAAAAAAAAAAGAAAAAAAAAAAAGAAAAAAAAAAAAGGAGAAAACCTATAAAAGTATATACAAATAATAAAAAAGAAGATTCTGCATTGCTTTAGAATTCTCTTGAGTAAAAGCGATTGTTTCTTTCGAAGATAACGCAAGGAATGGAAACGTCTCCTCGTTTTTCCTCGACGGAGAACAGAAGAATGGAACCGTTCGGTGAGCGATGATTAAGAGTGGAAGTAGGTCAAAGACGTTGAAAAAGTCGACTCGCGAGGAGTCGTACCATCTATATGCGTAGATGTACTCTACTAAGAAAAAAAAAGAGAGAGTGAAAGAGTGAGAAAGAGAAAGAGAGAGAGAAAGAGAGAGAGAGAGAGAGAGAGAGAAAGAGGGAGAGAGAGAGAGAGAAAGAGAGGGAATGAAAAGTAAAAAAATTTAAGACGATGCAAGTGAGACACAATGCGAGACAATAATAGTATAGGGAATACTAGCCGGTCTATGTGTAATCTTGAAAGCTCGTCGCCATCGTCGTTAGGACGAAGGGATTATCATAGCGTAGGTACGCTAGAGGCAAGGGTGCACCCTACCCGTGACTGCATCTTGTGGTAAAGTGGCGTAAGAATAAGGTTTATGTCGCTCTCAAATGTTGTAGACGATGCCTCGCTGCTCGAGGATTCGCCTTCGAGTCATCTCCTTCAGAACGAAGGACGGATATGGAGCTCTGGAAGGTGAAGGAGGAAGAAGAAGAGAAAGAGAAGGAGGAGAAGGAAGAGGAGAAGAAGGAGGAGGAGAACGACGATGTCGACGACGTTGGGCTGGTAAGCACTCTCACAAGCGATGACTCCACTTGAGCTTCAACCAGCCGCTACGGAGAACGCACAAGGAACATTGGAGTGTCACCGGTGTATCCACCTTACAAGGGGTGCTCAAATCCCTGAGGAAGAAGAAAATCACACGTAGTAAATGTATCTTCCGATCGTCTTAATCATTACAGTGTTGTCTTTCTTATCTTAAATCGGCTAATCGACGAGAAGATATGGTTTTTCTTCAACGCGTTAAACGCAATTCCTCTTGGCTCATGGATCGACACGACCGATGAAGAAAGAAAAAGAAGAAAAAAAAAAAGGAAAAGACGAGAGTTGGTATAAGGAAAGAGGGCAGACGAGAAGAATAAGGAAAGAAAATACGAAGGGTGAGCCGGCTCGACACAGGCACGTATTGAGCGGCCGAGTTTTCGGAATCTTCCCTCCGTACTCCACCCTTCAGGAGTATTGCTTGAGGAGCCTCGAGTGCGCCGAGGGTGCGTGCATTGTACGTCGCCCATCTTATATGCACCACCCACCCGAACGCCACCCCCGAACGAACGTCGAGGCTACATCCCCCTCCACCAACCCCGTCCACCTTATACTTGCACTCTTTGTTCTCTTTTCCCGATCCCCCTCGTCCTGACCCTCTCTTTCTCGTTCTGATTCTCTCTAGCTTACCGTGGCCCTCGTCCTGGCCCTCGTCCTCTTCCAATTCCTCCTCAGTATATACGCTCGTACGATTTCGCACCCCTTCGCCGTCTATACGTCTACGACGATGACGACGACGACGACGACGACGACGACGACGACGACGACGACGAAGAAGAAGGGAGGAAGAGATGAACCGAGGGAGTCGCCGTCGATCCTCGAGAACGAGAAAGACTCTTTAACGGTCTCCGGGTGTTAAGGGTGCCGCGAGGATGTTTTTAAGGAAGGCTCTTCCGAGCAAGCATGCAAGAAACTCGATCGATAATCACATTCGAACCAGTAGGCTCGAGCTAGTTCCTGCTTTTTCTCGAACTACTTTTTCTATCTCCCTTTTTCTCTCTTCCTTTCTCTTCCTTTCTTTTCTACTCCACTAGAAACGGCTTTGACCTCGATGCGAAAGTAGTACTATGGCAGAGTAATAACGCCGAGGAAGGATTCCTTCAAAAGATCATCCGGCCCGATTTGAGAAAGAAGGCACAGCAAGAAATCTGTGAGAGAAAGATAGATATAGAAGCTCTCCACTGTGTGGAACGTTACCGTGATTAAGAGTAGTAATGAAAGAAATCTGCAACGCAAGAAGAGTTCCTCCACCGCGCTGTCCTGAGCCCGGGCTCTCGCCTTGGTCCCTGGTGCCAGTGAAAAATGAAATCTTTGTTCTCCGAGGCCGCCGGCTGTAGAGTCGACGGAGGCGTAGGTTGGTAGGTGAAAAAGCGGGGTAAAACTCGGCTGATGTTCCAAGCTTTCGAGGATACGAGAGAAAGAAAGAGAGAGAGAGAGAGAAAGGGAGATGGAGGTAGGGAAGGTGGAGCAGTAATCGGAATAGATAGAGACTTTCCTAGAGACAGGCCAAGGAGAATGGGCCATTCATGCACGGGAACCGAGTGACTTCGTAGTTGGAGAACCGCGGGATTGTAATACGTCTCCGGCACCGTCGTGGAGATTACGTCCCTGTGTCCCGCGGGACTGCAATATCTTGCATCTCCCTCCCTCGGGGTCCAACCTCCTCCTTTTTCTCCGCCTCTATCTTCTCCCTACTACTCCTTCTCTCATCATCCATCTCCGATTTCTTCTCTTTCAGACTCTGTTCTTCGTATTCTTTTCCCTCATCTCCGCCTTCTCCTCCTCGTAGTCTAGAGAGAAAAAAAAGGAGGAAGAGAGAGGAAGAAAATCCGGGAATACTGGAGACATTCGAAGGATGGTAGAATAAGAGTAAGAGAGAGAGAGAGAGAGAGAGATAGAGACAGACAGAGATAGAAAAAGACAGGGAGAGGAAGAGAGAGAGAGAGAGAGAGAGACAGAGTAAAAGGGAGAAGAGAAGCGGGAAAAACTGCATCCGCTCAGAGTCACATCCGCGAACCCCCATCGGGTCTTAAGAAATCAATTAAACGAAGAGAGCTTGCCACTAGAGGGAGGATGACGAAAAGAAAAAGAAAGAGAGAGAGAGAGAGAGAGAGAGAGAGAGAGAGAGAGAAAGAGTTAGGGATGGAGACGAGCCGTTTCGTCAAGTGGATGAAGCGGGGAAAGACGAAAAGACAGACGGCGAAAGACGGAACTCGCAGTAATCAGAGGATCTTCTGAATATGTGTAGCATTTCTGTGTTTTCATGTACGTGCGTGTATGTATTGAATTCTCTTGCCTCCTTCCAATTTTCTTTTCTGTTCCATATTCTCCCTTTTTTCGTCTACCTATCTATTTCCCTCCTTATCGTACTTCTTTACCTTTAACTATCAGACCATCCTATCTCTTCTCATTTTTCGTTCGAGGTCCGTGATTCGTTAAGTGCATCGAGATTTACGTTAAAATGAAAATCCAGCAATCTTTGTCGATTGAAAGTAGATGTCCGTTACAATGGATAAGGAGTTTGGTCCGGGGATAACAAGGCATATAATCTCTGACTAGTTCCGGTCGGCTAACTGATCGACAAGAATAATTTTCCTTCGTCTTCAAATGACGAGCCTATCTGAAGCAATGCGGGCGATTCCAAAGAGTAAAAAGGAGATATAGATAGGAGGGATGAAGATAGAAAAAGATCGAGAGAAAGACAAAGAAACAGAGAGAGAGAGAGAGAGAGAGAGAGAGAGAGAGAGTGAGAGAGGAGAGAGAGGGGCCAGTAGAAATAACCGAGTAAAATATCGCGAGAGGATCGAAGGAGTTGGCGAGGCCGGGAGAGAAAGACGAGAACCGCGGTCGAAGGGTGGTGAAGGGAGGCAAGACGGAGGAAAAGGGATAAAAAGTAAGGGGTTGCCCACCCTAACCAACCACGTCTAGTAAGAAGCATTGGAATCGATATCATTGCAACGTGGGCTCCTCCATCCAGTCTACTCCACCCCCTCCACCCCCTTTCCTCTTCTTCCACCTCCTCCTCCTTCTCCACCTCCACCACCTCCTTCACCACCACTCCCATCTTCTCCCTTTTCGTTTCCTGCTCCGCAACAGCGCTCGTCATCAAGCCGACTCTTAACTCTTTCCTTCTCTGTCCTTCTTATACTGCTTCTCGGCTGCTGGCTGAGGTCGTCGAGTCGGCAACCGACTCCTCAGAACTCCTGTCTCTCTCTCTCTCTCTCTCTCTCTCTCTCACTCTCTCTCTCTCTCTCTCTCTCTCACTCTCTCTCTCTCTCTCATTCTCTTTTTCTTTCTCTTTTTCTTTTTCTTTCTCTTTCGCTCTTATCTACTCACGTTCCGATCGTCTTCTCTTTCTCTTTGCGTTACTTCTAATCGAGAATTCGTTTGTTTCTCGCTCTTAACAAGTACGCCAAGATGATCCGCTTCAACGTTTTTCCTTGAGTGCTTTATTTTCGTCGTACAGTAGGTTTCCCGTTATATCTATTCGATATCGACGAATCTCCACTTAGATGGAAATTACGATTGCTCGAAGAAACGTATTCTTTATCTTTTCCTTTCTTTTCATCCATTCCATCTTCGTCGATGCAATTATGATTACTTTATAATCTTATCGTTATTTAGATTCTCTTTGTCTTGAACAGTTCACCGTGAATTAATTGGCGAATCGTTGCTCGACATACTACTAGAAATTTAGCTGGACGTTTAATTTGCAAAGCTTTTTTTTTTCTCTTTCTCTCTCTCTCTC